AAAGTACAGTCACATTTCAGAGGCAAGGATGAAGAAGCTTCAAAAAGTACAGTCACATTTCAGAGGCAAGGATGAAGAAGCTTCATGTCACATATTTTGCATGTGTGGTGGTTGTTGTTGTTGTTGTTTGCTGCCACTGAGTTGAGAAAACATATCTATTCATTCTCTTGGTCGTCCATGGGATGTTCAGTGCTCTTCCCCAGCACCAAATTCAAAGGTGTCAATTCTTTTTTTCTGTCATCCCTATTCATTTTCCAGATCTTGGACACATAGCTATTAATCATAAAGACTATGGCCTGAATCAGATGCCCCTTAGTCCTCAAACTGACATCACTGTTACCCAATAATTTGGAAAGGTCCTTAACTGCAGGTTTTCCAAGTGCAATGTGTCTCCTTATTTCCTGATGGCTTATTTCAAGGCTGTTAATTGTGGATCCAAGCAAGATGAAGCTGTTGACAGCTTCAATCTCCTCTCCATACATCATGACACTGCCTATTGATTCAGTGGTAAGAATCTTTGTTTTTTTTATATTGAGATACAATCCATACTGAAGACTACATTCCTTGATCTTCAACAAGTGCTTCAAGTCCTTCTCACTTTCAGCAAGTAAGGTTGTGTCATCTGCATAACACAAGTTATGAGTCTCCCTCTGATTCTAATGCCACATTCCTCTTCATAGAGACCAGCTTCTTGGATAATTTGCTCAGCATATAGATTGAACAGGTATGGAGATAGAATAAAACCTTGGTGTACTCCCTTCCCAATTCCAAACAATACAGGCCTCCTCTGTTACATTCACACAACAGCCTCTTGATACAAGTATAGGTTGCTCATGAGCACAATCAAGTGCTCCGGGATTCCCATTTTTCTCAATGTCGGTCATAACTTGGCATGATCCACACAGTCAAATGCCTTTGCATAGTCAATAAAACACAAAAGACATTCTTCTGGTATTCCTTAATTTCAGCCAGGATCCATCTGATATCAGCAATGATACCCTGGTGCCATGCCTCTTCTAAATCCCACCTGAACTTCCGGCAATTCCCTATCTATGTACTGTTCCAGCCATTTTTGAATGATCTTCAGCAGTATTTTGCTTGCATGCCGTATCAATGATATTGTTTGACAATTTCCATGTTCATTTGGATCACCCTTCTTGGGAACAGGAACAAATATGGACCTCTTCCAATCTGTTGTCCAGACAGCCATTCTCCAAATTTCCTAGAATAGACTGGTGAATGATCCAAGGCTGCATCTATTAATTGATACATGTCAATTGGTATTCCATTGATTCCTGGGGCCTTATTTTTTGCCAATGGCTTCTATTCAGCTTCCACTTTCTCTTTCATTACCGTTGGCTCCTGTTCATAAGGGACTCCCTGAATTTTTTTCACTATCAAACAATCCTTTCTGGTATGGTGACTCTGTGTATTCCCTTCTTTTGATGCTTTCTGGGTCATTCAATATATTTATTTAAAGAATGTGTGGGTAGGAGGGGTTATTTCTTGGAAAGGAATGAACCAAAATACCCTCAATGAGACAGCTGCAATGGGTTCAAGTATAACAGAGATGATAAGGACAGTACAGGATTCAGATCTGTTGTTCCTAGGGTTTCTATGAGTTGAACTTATCTTGATGACATATAACAATAGATGTGTCTTAAGGAGTCCTGATGGTATAGAGCCTAATGTATTGGGCTGCTATCTAAAGGTTGGAGGTTTGAATTTACTCCATGGATAAAGAGAGGTAGTCTCTTCCTTTAAAGGTATACAGTACAGGAAAGTTCTGCTCTGTCCTGTAAGGCCACTATGAGTCAGAATCAACTTGTAATATTGGATTTGGTTTGGTGAATGGCTAAAGATCATGAAGATTTTTTCCACATGCTATTGGCTTTGCCTATATTTTATTGGGTTGGTTATGTTTTCTTTTGTTGCCAAGTTGTTTCATTTTTCAACAGATTTAATTTAGACTCTTCTCAGTGAGGCCATTTCTGAAGATTTTTCTCCAGTCTTTGGATCACCTATTTATTATTTTAAAAAGTCTTTCGATGAGCATGAATTATTAATGTTATGAGGTTCTATTTATGTATGTTGTCTTTTTCTATTATGTATTTGTTACTATATTTATTATCATATTTTTACCAAAGAATAAATCCTACAGTTTTCTCCTTGTGCTTTATAATATTCTAGGAACTTTATGGCTTTATCTTTAACATTTAAAGCTTTGATTCATTTTAAGTTAGTATACAGTATGGGTTTTGTTTCATTTTTATTCAAGTGGAGCTCTAGCTTTGCCAACATCAAGTAGTGAGACTTTTTATGTATCCTAGAATCTGGTCTATCCTGGAAAATTATCCACATGCCATGGAGAAGAACGTATATTTCTTTTTCTGATACTGATGAAATGTTCTATGTTGTTGGTGTGTTTTGTAGAGTCAGAACCAACCCACAGCTGACCCTCTGGAGGGTTTTCCTAGGTAATTGAACAGAGGGAGATTGTTATCCTTCTCCCGTGGAACAGCTGGCAGCCTTAAACCATGTGCCTTTGGCTTTGGAGCACACACAGCTTCTTGCAACTGGGCCACCAAGAACTCCCTATGGAGAAGAATGTGTATTTATTTTTCTACATATGGTCCGATTGGCTCATGTCTTTATTTAAATTCTCAATGTTATTAGTGATCTTCTTTTATAGATGTTCTATCTATTCTTGAAATTGGTGTATCGAAATATTATAAAGTTATTGTTTTTGTTGTTGTTATGTGTAATTTAGTTGACTATGACTCATGATGACCCTATGAACAATGGCTCTGAACTTGACCTGTCCTGAGCTACCCTCACCATCTCAGACACATCTGACCCCATTCCACAGTCACTGTGTTGATTCATCTCATCCAGGGTCTTTCTCTTCCAAGCTGATCCTTGACCCTTCTCCAAGGACTGATTCCTCCCGAAAACATGCCCACAATATGTCAGACAGAGCTTCAAAATCCTTGCCTCCAAAGAACAAACTCGTTTCAATCTCTCCAGGACAGATCTGTTTGTTCTCTTGGCGGTCCACAGAATGATCAGTATTCTTTTCCAGGAACACAACTCAAATACATCAATTTTTCTTCTGTTATCCTTACTTATTGTCCAGCTTTTAGAGGCAAAGCAAGTAATGAGAGACTCTGGCCTGGATAAGGCACATCCTAGTCTCTAAAATGACATCATTACTCTTTAGCACTTGTAGAGACCCTTGAGAGCAGATTTTCCTCAATGCAACTCATCTTTTGATTTCCTGACTATGTAGAGTTGTCTATTTTTCCCTTTATATCAGATAAGATTTGTTTCATATATATTGTTATTGTTGTGTGCTATCACATCAGAACTGACTCATATTTGACACTCTAGGTTTTCAGAGGCAATAAATCACACAGGAGTTGATTTTCCATCTTCCTTCCGCAGAGCAGCCGGCGGATTCCTACTCCTTACAAGATATTTTAGAGTCTTGATGGTGGAAGAGGCTGTTACATTCCCCATAGCCTGCCTCTGTTCTGTGCCCTCCAAATGCTTCCTGAGAAGTGTTCTCTGCTTTACATTTCAACTATATGCTTCTAACCTGAAACAGATGGTATCCTGTGAGCTGTGGCTCATCGGGAGCTTCTCTATTCACATTATGGGGATAGCAGGTAAAAGTTAGCTCTTTTGCTGGCCTCAGTTTGAATAGAAAGAGAAAACATAAGGGGAGTGAAAGGAGAAAGAAAAAGATTCTATATAAAGCAGAGAAATAAAGCCACACAGAGGCAGCGAGGAACAACCACTTAAGCATCTATTATCTTAATACCATATGCTATAGTTTGGCAACTACTGGTTTGTCTGGCATCCTTTTGGAGTCATATTTGTGGCCACCCAGATTAACTGTGTGAGCTGATCTCTTGATTTAATATCTGCTTGCTCTTTCCAGTGCCCATGCCGTTTACTGTCTTAAAAAAATGCACTGCTTGTTACTCAGCTGTCTGTGTTTCCAAGAACTCAGTCCGTTTTTCCTTTTTTTTTCTTCATTTCATATGGGAACCAGGAACTAGAAAGCACTCAATGAGGAAAATGAACCACTCACAGAGAAGGTGCAAGCCCAGAGAATAAGGGGTTTGTCTTTTATGGTTTGTACTTTGTAAGCTGTGGGTGTGACTCAATTTCCTCACCACCCACATAAAAAGGTTGCCACCCAATCACTGTGTTTTCTATCCAGAACCCCTCCTCTTTGATTTTGGCGAAGACAGACCTTGAGAAAGACGTTGCAGACTGTGACATATAAAAGCTGTTAGCAGCTCCTGTAACCAGCAGCATTCAAACCTTGCAGAGTTTTGCTCTTAAAGAGTTTGTAGTAAGACACACTCCTCTTACAAGAATTCATGCCACAACATAGCAAAGAGCTTTACATTTTTGGAAGAACAATATATTCATTTTGGCATTGTGCAGAGGTAAGCTATTTAGCTCAATGAATTTCTTTTGCATGCAATGATTTTTTTAAGTAGCTCACTCTCTCTTTTATTTTTTTACTTCCTTAAGAAATGAAGCAGGAGGATTATAACTTTTTTGTATGTGTCACCTTGGTGTGCATATATGTCTGGGAGATATTCTCATCCCCATTCTCTGTTACCTAGATGTATTTTTTCATCTCCACTCTCAAGGTCAACGTTCATTCTAAAAGAGTTCACAATGCAGTAATGCAGTGTCTGGTAGGCATTTGGGGCAAGTGATTCACATTTCTTTTGGATTTAGCAGCCATGCTGCTTGACTGTTTTCCTCCAGTCATAGCAAGTTCTCTTATGGCTCTGAATCATAGTATTAGTAAATAACGAAAAGTCACTCTATCATATAGATGATTTTTTAGGGTTGCCTTCAAAAGTTGTTCAGATATTTATTTACTTATTTTTTTAGAAAGTTCACTCAGGCAATGCTTCCAAAGGATAACTTTGCAAAGTTACATCTTTTGCTCTCCCCCTTCTTCCCCTCCCCCCCCCTTTCTCTCTCTCTTCTTTCCTAGACCATAACTGTACCTTTCTGCTCTAAAGCAAAACAAACCCAGTGGCCTCTTGTTCACCCCTCAAAATGATAGCCATCTCTGCCGTCAGCGGAGCACTCCTGTTCTGCCTCCTTTGCGAAGCGAGTGCCGTCATCTTACTCGATTCCACTGACTCATCCCCGCCAACCAATAATTTCACTGATATTGAAGCAGCTTTAGAAGCTCAGCTACGCTCTGCGGATATTCCCAAAGCCAGGCGGAAGCGCTACATTTCGCAGAATGACATGATCGCCATTCTTGATTATCACAATCAAGTTCGGGGCAAGGTGTTCCCACCTGCAGCTAACATGGAATACATGGTAAGAAGACTTCTTTTTCTTCTCGAGTTGCTTTGTCTAGGTAATATAAAAGAACCCAGAGGAATATGCCACGAGTGACGGGCTTCTTACACATTTAAGTAAGATTTCTTTGTGCCTGATAATCTTAAATGTATTTCATCATAGAATGAGAGGAGAGATCCAGTGGGATTTTATTCTGTGAACGCCACGCAATATTTTATATAAAGAGCGTAGGTAGAGTTGTGTGGACTAACAACATCTACCAGACCCCGTTTTTTTTTCATTTTATACCACATGGAACCTCTCTGTTCTCATTATCTCATAGTTATAAGTTAAAGCCTTTCTTAAAAATATTTCTTAAAATTACAGGTTTTGTGTGCATGATTTATTCTCTGGGTAGGTATCTTTCCCCTTTCTTGGACAAAGCTCTTCTCCACATCACCAATCTATTTCCATTCTAAGAGAATGACTGGCTTTTCTCTCATTGTGATTTAATGCTTTGCCGTTAGATAGCAGTTAAGCCAGAACATTTGCAGTGTTCCAACTTAGAAAGAACAAACACTTTGCTCTCTCTGTTAAAAATAGGCACTCTCTCTCTCTGCTTATTTTACTTGGGAAGTAAAATCTTGAAATGGTATTGAAAGGAAAGATATGTTTTAAAACTTTTCTTTAATTTCTCATGTTGAATTTATAAAAAATTATGGTTAAAAGTCCAGCATTTTAACAGAGGATGGTGTAGAGATTATTAAAGGCAATTAAGACGACCAATATGATGCTTCTACATTAAGGAGGAGGGAAACGCTATGATCAAATCTTTATAAGTTCTAAACTAGAATTTGATATTTCTTTAAGACTTTAAAATTAATCTATTTTTTCAAATAAACTTTGTATGTTTGACTAATTATAGATGTCAGTGTCAAAGAAAAACAAAAACAGACTTTTCCAATGTACAAGAGCCATTGCTCATAGAATTAGTATTTAGACTTTCTGAAAATACATTTTCAAAAAATTTTGTAAAAGAAAGGAAATGTAATTGGTCCTGGCTTATAAGGACAATATTGTCTTATGGTTAAGGATATGAACTCTGGGATCTAATTGCTTGCGTTCAAGTGCTAGTTAAGACATGTAAGGTGTGTGACTTCATAGCACCTCTTGGTGTCATTTTCCTTATCTCTGATACGAGGATAAGAGAAGTATTCACCTCATAAGGATGTTGTGAGGAATATATCAGTCTAGGTTTTGAACAAACAGCTAAGTCCTTGGCTACAAAAGTAGACAGTTCAAGTATATTCAAAGACATATCAGAGGGCTCTATGAGGAGAAATGTGGGGTCAAGATTGGTGGACGATTTATCAACAATCTGCGTTATGCGGTTGACACAACCCTGCTTGCTGAAACTGAAGAGGACCTGAAGTGCCTGCTGCAGAGCGTCAAGGACTACGGACTCCAATATGGATTGAGGCTCAATGTCAAGAAGACAAAGATTCTCACCACTGGACCAATTGGCAGCATCAGGATGGATGGTGAAGAGATTGAGATTGTACACAGCTTTAGTTTGCTTGGCTCCATAGTCAACAGTCTTGGCACCAGCAGTGAGGAAATTAAAAGGCGCATTGCCATGGAAAAGTCTGCTGTTAGGGACCTCTCCAAAGTACTGAAGAGCAATGGTGTCTCTCTGGAGACTAAGGTGCGTCTGATACAGGCTATGATCTTTGCAATCACTTGTTATGCATCAGAGAGTTGGACAATGACCAGGGAGGATAGAAGGAGAATTGATGCCTTTGAGCTGTGGTGCTGGAGAAGAGTATTGAGAATACCATGGACTGCTAGGAAAACAAACAGATTTGTCCTGGAGAGGGTTAAACCGGGTGGCTCCTTGGAGGCAAGGATTCTGAGGCTCCATCTAACATACTTTGGACATGTTGTGAGGAGAGACCGGTCCTTAGAGAGGGACATCATGCTTGGGAGGGTGGAGGGACGACGCAGGAGGGGAAGGCCCTCTATGAGGTGGATTGATTCAGTGACTGGGATAATTGGGATGGGAGTGTCAGAGACAGTGCAATTGGCACAGGGCAGAGTGGAGTTTAGGGCTGTTGTACATAGGGTCGCTATGAGTCGCAAGCGACTCGATGGCACATAACAACAACAACAACAATCATCTAGAGTTCTACTCTGAAACACATGAATCAGAATGGCCTTGAATACCTTTTCTCCATTCTAGGAACTTGCTTGTAGGGTGTTGTGCTACTGACTTAAAGACCATCCAGTTCTCTGACAGTTCCGATCCATCAGCAGCCCTGTGAGTGAAAGATAGTTGTCTCTTCCCATGCAATGTACATCCTCTGAAAACCCCCTGGAGATTCCACTGTGAATTGGTTCTGACCTGATAATGATGAGAAAGTTAAAAATAGAAATTCACTTTGACTATTTTTTTACATTTCTTAAGTGCCCTGTGAAAACCCATCCAAGATCTAGAAGAGTTGTTTCTAGAAATTGAGGTAAAAGTATTGAAAAGGAACAAATGTAGTTTACTACAAATTATCAAAACAAAACCAGAAAGTACTGTGCTTAACTGGTTCCCTACAGTTGGCAACCTCCACTGGGTTTCTAAGACTAAGTGTTTACTGAAGAAGACTGCTCATCTTGTTTCCATAGAGCAGCTGGTGGATTCAAACCACTGACCTTTTGGTTAGCAGCCCAATGGATAAAACACTAATGCTCTCTTTTCTTTAAGTTATGACGGAAATATGGAAAGGAATCTCATAAAGGCTGTCACCAGATTATGAATTTACCGAATCTTCTCGTAGAGGGAGCACTGCTTTTCACTGAGAAGCTAATGACTAAGACAATTGAGCTTCTTTGGTTCAAATCCTAACTCTGCTACCTATTCTGTGACTCTGTACACATTTCTTCATTTGAGCAAGATCCAATTTCTTTATCTGTAAAATATAAACAATAATATAAATATTACATACTAACCAGTCAATAAACAATTATTTTAATAATATTGCAAATGGAAAGATAATCCTGAATAAAAGTATAGGTGCATGAAAACCAAAAGATATACATCAGGAAAGGTCATTTTTTTACTAGTTAAAATCTCTCCTCATTGGTCAAGAATTCAGTCATCCTACATGCATTTATTGAATTACTTCTCTGTGCCAAAGACTTGGCTGTTGGTTTCCATAGATGATTTATTTGATCAATTACTATCACATTATGAATTCAGCATCATTATCTTTATTTTGAAAGTAAAATTATTCATATTCAAGTTAATGCAATTATCAAGGTCATATGTTGTTGTTGTTGTTAGGTGCTGTCAAGTCAAGTAGGACTTATTGTGAACCTATGAGCAAAAAATGTAAACCCTGTTCTATCCTGCACCATCTTCACACTTCCTGACACATTAAGAACCATTAGAATTTAGTAAACTAGCATTGCTGTCATCCAGTTCTGACTCATGGCACCTTCCTATCTGTTGAATAGAACTGTGGTCCTTAGCGTTTCCAATAGGATGCTCTGGTGGTGAAATCTATAGAGAGTTGCACCACAGAGGATACACCTCTCTGTTCAAACCTACCAATGGCTCCAGAGGAGGAAGATGGGCTATCTCCTCTCCCTTGATTTACAATTTCAGAAGTGTAATGGAAGCTCAACTAAGAGTCTCTTTCTATTTGACACAATGACTTTTAGGTTTGCATGGCTGATCTTTTGGAAGTATGTCAATGGACCTTTTTAGTGAGGTGTCTCTGGGTAAACTTAAAATGCCAATCTGTCGGGTAGCAACAAATATTTAATCTATTAAGTCATTCATGTACTCTTGAATTGTTATTGCTAAGTACTATCAAGTCAGCTACTACTCATAGCAACCCTATGACCAATAGATCAGAACCCTGACCTGTTTAGAACTGTGTAATTCTAAACTCAGAAGTCCTGGTGGAACAATGGTTAACTGCTTGATTATTAACCAAAAGATTGGTGACTTCAACCCAATAGAGAGGTTCATTGGTAGGAACAAGTAGTCAGTTCCTGTAAAGATTAAGAAACCCTTTGAGCAGGGTCAGTATGAGTTGAATCGGATCAGTGCTTCACAATAACAATTCTAAACCCCATGCTCACATTAGCAAAAACCTTTTAATTTATTAGATTCAGCAAACGTCTGAGTGGGAGAAACCCCTGGAAGTGTCAGAGTCTCTCCATTTCCTCCCTTAAGTTGCCAGCTGAAAACCTACCATCCTCTCGTCTACTTGGCATTCAAGTCTTAATATTTGTTTCTAATCCAAGTCAACTATTATGTATGATTCATTTTGTAAAGACCAAGAACAATGAGAAACAGTAGCGAAAGCAGTAGTTTCTATTAAGTTACATAAGGGCTGTTTCAAATTATTGTGTAATGTGATGCATAGAATTTATTCACACATATGTTTATCCATTTAATATTGTATGGCAGGAGGTACAGTCATGAATAAAACAGATAAAAATCTCTGCCTCCTGGAGCTTATATGTAGGAATATCCCATTGCCATCAAACTGGTCTGGTTCATAGCAATCCCAGAGGAGAGGGGAACTGCCCGATGGGTTGTGAGGCTGTAAATTATTGTGGAAGCAGAAAGCCTCATTTTTCTCCACAAAGAAGTTGGTGAATTAAAACATAAACCTTTTAATAAGTAGCTCAATGTTTAATCCACAGTATAACTAAGGCTGAAGCAGGAAGTTGTTGTAATTATTGTATACTGTCAAGTCAGACTGGACTCATTGCTGATATCCAGCTGGTTTTCAGAGACTGTAAATCACATGGGAGGAGATTGCCCATCTTTGTCACATGGAGCAGCTAATGGATTTGAACTGTGTGCCTTTGAGTTGGAAATGCAACTCCTTATCACTGGGAGTTGCCATTGTTATGTACCATCAATTTGGAGTCAACTCTTAGCCGACCCTCCAGGGGTTTTCAGAGGCAGTGCATTGCCCAGGAGAAGATAGCCATCTTCCTCCTGTGGAGCAGATGGTGTATTTAAACCATGT